CGGAGCTTTTTTCTTCTGTTACAGGTTTGCTGAAGCCATCTATTCTGTCGGTGCTCTCCAGCTGATTACTAGGCGGGTAGTGTGGTCAGATTTTCACCCACACATAGAAGGTCGGATGATAATTGCCCTGTAACAGCTTCCTTGGGCGCCTCCCCAACCTCATCACCCTCTTCATCCAAAGTTAAGTCCATGACTTGCTCAGTTGGAGGAATGGTTTTGGCTTCAGCAGCATCCTTGGATTTCCTCACCAAGGCCTCATTATCATTGTTATCCTCATCCTCGGCTTCAGACTCAGACTCAGATTCTTCTTCGGCCTGACTTGGAGGTGGAAGAGGAGGAAATGGGAGAGGAATAGCTTCGGCATTACGGAAAGACGAGTTAACAGGGAGATCAAGTTTTTTTATCAGGGACATCCAACCAAGGGAAAATCCCCTGTTGCATGACTGCCTGACTTGAAGCTTGTAATCCTCAGTGACGTTGGCCATGCCCTGAGCATATGCCTTCTCATCAGCCTTTTTGATTTCGGCTTCCTTTGTGGCCAAGGCTTCCTGAAGTTCCTTCTCGGCCTGGGCCGCTCTCGCCTCGGCCTCTTTCTTTTGGGATTCAGTAACTGTCTTGATGGCCTCAGCAGATTCGGCCTTTTCCTCGGCTAAGGTTTGGGCTTTGGTGGCAGCCTCAGTCTGGTCTTCCAGCTTTTTCATTTTTGAAAGAAGGGTTTTATTCTCCTTTTTGAGGGCAGAAACCTCCCTCCTCAGGTCGACCAGCTTCTCTCAATTCTGGAAAGATTGCATTGAAAATGAGTGGGCATGCTGGATGGCCTGAAAGAAAATAGAAGTGTTAGAAAATATTTTTAAGTGCAAAACAGAATGGAAGAAAAAGTACCAAGTATGAACACTTACTTGAACAGAGTGCTGGAGCATTAGGGCATAGTTCTCATATTCACTATACCCGGCATTCCGCTCCAAATCACCAGGAAGGAGCAGCGCCGTAGTAAGGGCAACGCCGACATTTATGTCATCGACGCTTTCATTGGTCATTATGGGCCTATCTTCCAGAGTAATCTGGGGAGCCCAAGGAACATCAGATTTTTTGGAACCCGAGGTCGTCGCAGACGATGACCTCGGCTTCTTTGGTTGGGTGGATTCTGATGGCTGGGCCTCAGCAGACCCTTTTGCGGAAGTAGAAGCAGATTTTTTACTCTCTGCCAATTGTGAGATGGGCAGAGCATCCTCAGCCTCAACCTCAGTAGCTTTGGCCTTAGGCTGAGCCTTTTTTATTCTCTTCGGCTTTGGTGGGGGCATGGTTTGCGTCAGTTGAGCGTCAACATCCGTGGGAAGGTCGGCCAGGAGATCTTGGGCAACAAGCTTCGGGCGACCCATCTCAGCAGTTTTGACGAGTCGTCGCCGACGTTTTCTTTCTGGTATTGGGATTAAGTATGGGGCTAAAGTTGACAGTTGGTCGGCTGGATCAGAGGTTGACCCTTGGTCAGCCCGAGATGTTGATGCTGTTTGCAGAGTAGTAGCAGAGGGAGGAGATAGGCTCTTCTTCTTTTTTTTTGGGACGTCGGGCAATGTGGATTTGTATGTCGGAATAAAATTCAGTAACAGGGGAGCCTTGCGCTTGTGGATTGGAAGATCTAGGAGCGTCTTTAAATCTTTTCCTGGGAAGAAGGATTGGCGGAAGTTTTTTGGTGGCTGATGAAGATCTGCAGGACAAATAAACAAACATTAGAAACAGACAAAGTTTTAAAGACTTGGAAAAGAAATAACTAAGTATTGACGCTGGGCTCTTACCCTTGCCCTCTTTAACTGTTCGAGAAAGAGGGTAGAGGTGAACATTTTCGTCTGGACCAAATTCCCAATTTCCCAAAGCAATGACAAAGTCATCCCCGGCTTCCTTGTTGGAGTCTGGGAGGTCGGCTACAATTTTGAATTCAGTAGACCTCGGCTTGAGGTAGTAGACGTAACCTTTTTCCTTCAGATTAAGGGGGCACATGGTGTAACAATACTGTATATCAGCAAGGGTGATCCTAACGTTTTCCTGCCTAGCTAGGGTTATGATACCATTAATCACTCGATAGGAGTTGATGGTAAGTTGCATAGGGTTCAACCTGTAGTAGTGGAGAACTTCACGAAAAAGGGGATTAAGTGGAAGCCGGAGTCCACATTCAGTAAAAGCTACAATAGGAAAAGGCATCGTGTTGTCTGTAGGCATAATGGAGTCATCATCCCCAGCCAATCTCAGGTGGACATCGGCGGAAATGGAGAACTCTTGCCTAAAGTACTCAAGTTTGGTTGGGGTATTTACCCTATGTCTCCACATACCCATAACGTCGGCCTAAAATCGGAGGGCTAGGTCTCAGAAAGATGGTATTCTTAAAGGGTTATTGGAACCTCGGCAAAAACCTAGGAGAGTATTGGTACGATTTGTTTCAGTTTTCCCTAAATTAAAGGTTCTACAAACAAATCCCAAGCTTAAGAACTATGAAAGTGCAAGTGTTCAAGATATGAGTAAAATCATGGAAAAGAGGCATCCAGATGAATAGTTCAGCAAATCAAAGGTTTGAACAGCGTAATAATGGCAGTAAGTAAACGAAAGCACATAAAAGAAATCGGGAATAAGAGGAACAGAGGCTTACTAGAACAAATGAAGCCGGAATAAAAGGTCGCCGAGGTAAGGCAGCGGTTGCAGACACGACGGAACTGCGAAAACTTCAAAGGGAGAATGAAGACGGTTACAGAGCTTGGAGCTAGAGCAATGGCGGATTTGAGAAAGTTTTAAGAGAGAGAAAGCCAGAAAATCGAAAATAAAAGTAAAGAGACGAAAAGAAAGGGGGAAAATTTTTATCAAAAACTTGAAACGGCGGCAAAAAGGGTAATAAATGCGCCTGGAGCAACGCATACGTCAGGCGGCGTGCGCAGAAAAAACGTGGTTTATAGGCACGTCACAGACACGGGCCAATAAGGATAAAGCACGTGAGGGGAACGGTTGAGAAAAGGTGCATGACAGCTCATACGCGTGGAGGAGTTTGTTTGAATTCTTGTTCTTTGATGAAGGCATGTCGGCCTAAAATGAATGATCTCGGCCGAAAAGTTCTCACGCCGAGGTACTGGAAGAAAATACAGATATAGGTTTCATCACCTCAGAATGACGAGGTAATAGAACCTAGGGGGCAGTTGTGGGGATGTATTTTCTGAATACCAACACGTGGCATGGTGATGCTGACGTATCAGCCGAGGTGCCACGTGTCCGGGTAGTTATGCCGAGGTTACCTAGGCTAGGCCGAGGTGATCTCCGAAGATATCGGAATCCGAGATAAGCGGATAAGGGACAAGAGTCCTAGAGTAAAGAGAAGACTTTGCTAAGATAATGATAAAGCTCTTAGGGAGTTTGTCTTTATCTCATGAAGAGTCCAAAGTTGACATTGAGTTGGAATCCATAGAAGTTAGACTTCTAGTGGGACTTGGATTGAGTAAACTATAAAAGAAAGGCACCCCCATGAGTCTAAGGTATGCAATTTATATTTTGAGCAATAAGTTTAACTCTTGATTATCTTTGAGAAATATACTGACTTGATCGTCGGAGTGTCTCCGGGTGGAAGAACTACCGCCGGAGGCCTTTCTTTCTGTTACAGGTTTGCTGAAGCCATCTATTCTGTCAGTGCTCTCCAGCTGATTACTAGGCGGGCAGTGTGGTCAGATTTTCACCCACACATATTGAAAATGATAATCCAAGTTTTTCAATGGACGTTTAAATTTGGATGTGTGTACACAGATTTGACAATTTCTATTTATTTATTTATTTTTTAGGTAAGGGAGCAATTAAATAAAAAAAAAAAAAAATTGCTAAAAAGATCTTCAACTTCATAGATTGATCCCCACAACTGGGTGATGTAAAATATCATCGTCATAGCCAATATAGTTAGGTATTGTAATTTTTATTTTTGACTCGGTAGTACTACTTGAGTAGTAGATTGAACTAATTTTTTTTTTTTTATTTGCAAATGGTGGTTCAACTTTTTTCAATGGATGTTTAAGTTTAGGTTTTGTGTGTATAGATTTGGGTGTGTTTTGAATAATGTGTGTACACTTTTTATTTGTCAAGATATATTTGGAATAAAAGCTGCGTGGAGTGAGCATATACTATGGTAGCATTTGGTATTATGTTTTTGGTTTATGTTTACAAAAATTTTATAAATTGATTTTTGTTTATTTTTAGAAAAATATAAATTACAAGCGCGTTTGGTTTGAACAAAATATTTGAAAATTTTAAAAACATAAATTAAAAAATATGTTTATTTAGGCCTAAAATATTTATATTTATTTTTTTATTATTTATGACAATGAGTTCATACACATTATGATTGAAAAAAAAAAAATTAAAAAAATTAATTGAAAAAAAATTAATTGGAAAAAAAAATTGTTAGTCAAATTTTTTAATTTATGTTTAAAAACTAACGCAAACTCATTTTTTGAGTTTACGTTTTTTCCTCAAATTTACAAACTGAGATAACCATTTATAAACTAAAAAAGTTATCAAACAAGTTTTTAAATTTTTATAAATATAAACTGAAAACGAAATACAAACAGGTAAGTAGTTATTGCTAGATTTTAAGTTTTTAACAATAGATAATGATTTAAAGCTATGTTTGGTTTTGGTTTTCTAGTTAAAAAAGCATAAAATATAAAATGGACTACATAAGTCAATAAGACAAAATGTCACATCTATCATAATCTTTATACTTTATTTTCTCACAAAAATAAAAAAAGCCAAAAACAAAAACTAAGCGAGACTAAAAAAGTCAGGCTAAAATAATTTAAAAAATCAAAAAATCTAACTATTTTAGCTCTTTCCAAACGAAAACTAAGTGTCATATTTTGGTAATATATTATTTCTTCATTTTTTTAATGGACTGTGATTGAGACTCCCTCAATCAGCAACCCCCACCACCCCCCACACACACGTGACAGGTGGTGATTGGAGAAGAAGGAAAAAAAAAATTTGGCCAATCAGAATGAGAGGGGTGAAAGGAAGTTGGGGGAAAGGAGGTCTTGATTATTTTTCTTTTTTAATATAAAATATCAAATTGAAAAGCTATATGTCGGTCCCACCATGATAAATATAGAATTTAGGGTTGGACAAATATCTATATGATTTGTAAAAACTAAATCACTTGAATCAATCCGTCACACAAAATGGACAATTTTAATTGTCTGGGCAGGTGAATGTGTATAGATTTTTCTCAATATGTTTAAATTTAAACGGATAACAGATGAGAGATCAATCGATCGATCAATCCTCTTAAAATAAATAAATTTTCTCCCAAACTAAGTAAAAAAAAAAAAATTAAAAACATAACACAAAAATCATTTAAGAAAATAGAGTTTTCTAAATAATTTTTTAACAAGCCTAATTTTAATTTTAATTAGATATTATGATACACATGAATATATATATCCTGTACATACATATAATATTATATATATATATATATATACACTCAATACTAGGTATATAAATACACTGTAATTAAATTTTTTATTTAAAATTTATATATATATGTACATGTTTAATTTAAAATATTATTAAATAATAAATTTGATAAAAATTAAAAATTAAATTAAGGTACTTTTTATTTAATTTTATGGTAATAAATTAAGTTATTTAGGTTAATTTATGATTTAATTTGTTTTATATATATATATGCATGTATATGTTTAATTTAAAATTTTATTAAATAAAGTAATTTTATGGTATAAAATTAGAATGTTCAATTTAATTTGTTACATATATGTACATATATGTATGTTTATGTTTATTTTAAAATGTTAATAAATAAAAAATTAAGTTAAAAATTAAAAATTTGATTAAACGTTCAATAATTTAATTTTATTATAATAAATTAAGGCATTTAGATTAATTTATGATTTAATTTGTTATATATATAATAAGAAAATTAGGGAGAGGTCCTCCATATATGTTTGTGCAAGAGTTTAAAGGACAATAAAAATTAGTTTGGTAGCTAAAGTCCCTAAAA